GGTGAGGGTACTGGTGACAGAGTACATTTTTATCTTAAATTATTCTTGTGGTTAATTTTTCACTTGTAAAGAAGAATTTATAATTTGATATTATTTTTACCCATTGATCATCTGAAAAGTTTGTAGCATCTTGAGTATACCTCAATTTGTGATTTTATCTACAAAAGGACCCTGTACTTTCCAGGTAACACATGGGGTTATTGTGTTAGGTCAGAACTGTGATCAGAAGTTCATGCAATTAGGATAGTCACAGTCTTTACACTTSTAAGTCTTTTTCCTGGATATGGTCATTGACACCCCGCTTTGTTTCTCTGATRTCAGTGGAGATTGTGGACCCTGTGGATATCTATCTCAACCTCCTTCGGACCATCTTTGACTTTAATGCCATTAAGAGTTTGCTGACTGGGCCAGGCCAACTGAAGATCCGCATTGATGCAATGCATGGAGGTGAGCTAGTGGTTTTCTACAAAGTAGTGATTGAGAAATGTTAAGCAGACTTCTTCAAATGTTGGATTTCTGAGATTTTGAGGAAGTTRGATTCACCAGTAATCACACAACTTGTCTATGTTCAGGTATTTGGAAGGTTCTGGAAAACTTAAGTTCTCTAATTTCTTTTTTTCAGCATAACATGAAAACAAAAGTTGAATAAATGAGTTTRAGGCTATGTCTGTGAGAGTGTGGAGTGGATTAAGACTGTATTTATTTACGTGTTTGTGATCAAAGCACATGTTGTAATTTAAATAATCAAATAATTCTAAGTTTGTTATGAAAAAAAAAATCTTCACCTTATTCTTTTCTCAATTTCCTACTTTCAGGAGTCAACACTTTTCAATTCTTGTATTTTTTTTTTTTTGTATTTATATACCCTGTCACTATATGTGAATACACGGCTTCTGGTGACTTTTCAGTGTTGAGCATCTCTGACTTCATACCACGTTAAGTTCCCTTTGTGGGCCTATGCAGTCATCTCCCCACCCCCAGCCCCTGAATACCAGTTCTCTGCTTTCTGCCTCTCTTGTTTTTCCTTTTCCAAAAAGCCATAGAAATGGAAGCATAAAGTTTGTAGACTTTTACTTCATGTTTCTGTCATTCAGCATAATGTTTTTGAGATGCAGGCGTGGTGTTGAATATATCAGTATTTGCTTCTTGTTATCACACAATAGTATTCCATTGTATYGATGTACCACAGTTTATTTATCCATTCTCTGGTTGATGGAATTGAGGCTTTTATCCCCAGTTTTTGGCTATTCTAAATAACATTGCTATGAATATTTACAAACAAATCTGTACGGGAACGTATATTTCCATTTGTCTTGGGTAAGCTCCTAGGAGTGAGATTGCTGAGTCTGATGACAAGTGTATGTCTAACTATGTAAGAAACTATCCAAGATTTCCCCAAAGTAGACATACCATTTATATCACATGCGGTGCCTGAGTGCTCCAGTTTCTCTCCATCCTTGCTTGGTATTGTSGGTCTTTTCGATCTCAGCCATTCTACTCTATCTTGTTCATCTCTACTAGAATATGATTGATA